CAACATGCTTGGTTCTATCATCTTGAACTGGATTATGTGCAATACTGATGGCAGATTTATTGTCACAACAAAGTTTCATAAGCCCTTCCCATGGAATCTTCAAATATTCTAAAATAATCTTTATCTAAAGTAATTCGATGATTCCCAATGTCATTGCTCTAAATTGTTCTTATGCAGTTGACCGTGCAACTACATTCTGTTTTTTTACTTCTCCATGTCATTAAGTGTCCACCTAAAAAGGTACAATTGCCCCAAGTTGATTTTTCTATTGTCTATAAATTCTGCATAATATGTATCTGTATAAACTTTTATAATGAATTTCTCACCTTTCTTAAACAATAATCCTCTCCCAATGGAGTTCTTTAAGTAGTGAAGTATCTGGTACACTGCTTGAAGGTGAACTTCTTTTGGACTATGCATAAACTGACTTACCACTCCTACAACACACGCAATACCTGGTATTATGTGAGAAAGATATATTAGTTTTCCAACTAATGTCTGGTAAGTTTCTTTATTTACCGGAGGACTCTCTTCAGCTGCACATAATCTATGGTTTTGATCAATCGGTGTTTGCATTGGTTTGCTACCAAGCTTTCCTGTTTCGGAAAGTAAGTCAATCATATATTTTTGTGGTGATAAGAATATGCCCTGTTTTGAATAGGTTACTTATATTCCAAGAAAGTATTTCAGTTTTCCTAGTTCTTTAACTTCAAGTTATTAGATTAAACAATTTCAGAATTTATCTTGTTCGTTATTATCATTGCCAGTGACAATTATATCGTTGACATAAACGATCAATGCTATCACTCCCCCGGTAGCATAATGTTTTATAAGAATGTATGATCTCCTTGACTCTGTTTATAACCTATCTTTCTCATAACCTGAGAAAATCTACCAAACCATACCCTTGAAGATTGCTTTATTCCATACAATGCTTTTCTTAAATTACAAACTTGATTTCCTGCTTGCAGGCAAACAAGGCGATGGACACACTGAGGGTTGAGCAAGTGGCTTAGGCGAATAAGTGGTCGTCCTTCAACGAGTTGGAGAATGCCATCCGAGTTTTGCCAGAGTTCAGCGATCTGGTGACGCCAACTGAAGCTTCGACTTTGCCATGGATGGAGTGAGGAAGCTCGCCCCTGAGCTTTACTTGTATTCAATCTATAAGGCCTATGAAGCGTAGCTGGATGAAGAGGATGACGAAGGAGAGGTCTAGGCTGACAAACCTGTTGGTAAGGATGAAGGGGCGATTGCTGATGCCTAAGCCAGGGCCTCCATTTCTTTTGTATTTCTCTAGAATTTTGCAAGTGCTGATGGGTCGGAGCGCATGTGCTTTGGCTGATCATTTGAGTTTAGCTCATCTATTTGAGGTAGACTGGAATGTCAGAAAGAGGGGTCATTTATTTATAATATTTTACAATCATAAATATAAACTGCTAATTATTGATGATACATATGTAGATGGTCGACATTCTATAGGTCGAACAACTTATTGTCGTTTAGGTCGGCTATTACATACGTGTTGGGCCGGACCACTTCTCGTATCATGTATGGATCTTTCCAGTTGGGCTCGAATGCTCCCACATGGGTCAGGACCTTCTTCAAGACGAGGTCTCCTGGTTTGAACACTCGAGGCTTAACTCTGCCGTTGTAGTATCGCGCCATACGATTTTGATATTAAGCTCTTCGAAGTTGCGACTGAACTCGCTTTTCTTCAAGGAGGTCGAGGTTGAAAAAAAGAGCCTCATCATTTGCTCGTTGGTCAAAGTGCTCGACCCTTAAGGTTGGTAAGCCAATCTCAACAGGGATAAACGCTTCCGAGTCGAATGCTAAGCTGAAGAGGGTTTCACCTGTTGATCCCCATGCTGTGGTTCATTACGACCAGAGCACTTTTGTAAGGTCTTCGGCCCAATGACCCTTCAAGGCTTCCAAATTTGTTTTTAGACCTCGCTTTATAATCTTGTTTATGGCTTCAACCTGCCCATTGGCTTGGGGGTGAGCCGGAGACGAGCTGAAGTGTTTGATGCCGAGCTCTTCGTATAACTCGTTGAACTGTGTGTTGTCGAATTGCTTCTCATTGTTTGTTATCAGGGCGTAAGTGATGCAGAATCAACAAACAATCTTCTTCCAGATGAAGCTTGTTACATTCTGCTCGGTAATTTTCACTAAGGCTCTACCTCGACCCATTTGGTGAAATAGTTAGTTGCAACTATTGCGTGGTTGACCTGACCCTTCCCAGTTGGGAGTGGTCCGATCAAGTCAAGGCCCGACCGAGGGAAGGGCCAAGGACTTATGATGGTAGTGAGAAGTTTTGGATGTCGGTGAGGTATGTTAGTGAACCGCTGACACTTGTCGCACTTTTTCATGAATTGGTTCGCATCATGGTATAGGCTCGGCCAATAATAGCCCTACCTAATTATTTTGAAAGCCATTGACCGAGAACTTGATTGGCTGCTGCAAACTCCCTCGTGAACTTCTCTCGTGACATAGTTCGCTTCGTCTGGGTAGAGGCATCTCAGAAGTGGGAGAGAAAAGCTTCTCTTGTACAGCTTGCCCTCTTGGATGATGTAGTTGGTGGCTCGATGTCACAATCGCACTTTAACGGGACTCAGAAAGCGATTGTGCGGCACTTGCTTTCACCCTCTAGCAAGTCAGCCAATGCGAAATCGAATAGCCGGTGGCACAAAAGCTATATGTCGCAACCTCCACCCCCGTTCTCGAGAAAACGGTTTTGGAAAACGGGGTTAGAGAAAAAAGTTTTAGAAAACATTTGAAAACATTTTGGAAAGTTGTTGTAAGCTTGAATGCAAGAGAATAGATTAGCGGCAAGACAAGAATACAACGCAATGTAGGGAGGATGACAAGGTGTACCCCCTATAGTACATTCTAAGGCATAATTGCTATGGCGAGCATGAACGTGCAAAGTGGCGAGGAGTCACTCGCAACCAAAAGTACAAGGAAAAGAAAATAACAAGCAAAACTAAATACATGACATAAAAGTATGTGGAAAGAGGTTGTTATGGGCATGCGGCCACAGGCAACAGGCCTTGGACAAGCATGACCATGACACTCGGCGCCCAAGCTTTTTGGCTTCGGCTCGATTCTCAGGAACCTTCCCATTCAAATAACCTTTGACGGGATCCATGTAGGTTTGGGAGGTGGGCTAGACATCACCACATCCGCCTGGTCGATGGATGGCTCATTCAGGACTTCCACTCGAACTTCACGAGGTAAATCTGTCTCGTATGCTGAGACTAGCCGAGCTAGGGCATCAGCGTTCGAGTTCTATGATCTCAGGACTTGACGAATTATGTACTTCTTGAACTGGCTCAGGAGTTCTTGCGCCTTGTTGAGGTAGCACTCCATTCGGCTATCTTTTCCTTGGTACTCCTCGTTTATTTGGTTGACTATAAGTTTAGAGTCACTAAGGATGAGGAGATAGTTCACTCCCATTCCTCTTGCAACACTGAGTCTTACGATAAGGCTTAGTGTGTACTCGAAGCTCAGATTGCCTGGGCCGAGTAGAAGCACGCTAGCCCCACAACCCTTGTCGTTAAAGAAACCATCTACATACAATGTCCATTGAGCTCGATCGTGGGCTCAAGGCCTGTATAGGGTCAACTCGGTAATAAAATCAGCTGCAGCTTGTCTTTTCATTACTGTTCGAGGCTCGAATACGATGTCGTGTTCATTGAGCTCCAAAGCTCACTTCATGAGTCTTTCTGAGGTCTCAGGTTTATGGAAAATCTGACTCAGGGGGAAGTTGGTTAGCACTATGACGTTGTGCGCCTGAAAGTAAAGGCGCAGGCACTGAGTCGATGTTACCAAAGCTAAGGCTAGCTTTTCGATGCAGGTACCTCGTCTCGACGTCGTTCAGTGATTTGCTAGTGTAGTAGACAGGATTCTGCTGGCCCATGTTTTCTTTGATGAGCACCGAGCTGACAGATTTCGTTCGGTTCAGTACTGCTCAGAACGTCCACAGGCCGCAACCCCAAGAGGGGAGAGTGTAGAGCCCCAACGTTTAGAGTAGTGCGACCTTCGAACTTTTGAGGACGAAACTTTTTAAGGTGGGCAGTTTGGAACGCCCACCTTCTCTAGCTAGTTTATATTAAGATTTAATTTCGATCTTTGCATTTTTCCCCTAATCTGGTAATTAAATTCTTGGATTTATAAGTTGGATTTCTAATTTTGGCTAAATTAGAATTAAGTTTAATTTTATTGGATTAAGGTAATTTAACTTCTCGATCTGTGTAGGAGATTTTTAGTTAAATCTTAAATCCAAGGTTTTTAGGATCTTTCATTTCTACTTTTGGTTTATTATTTTTGGGTTTTAGAGTTTAAGTAACTTTTTTTATTTGGGGTTGTTGGGAGTTTTAGTTGATTATTAAGGTATAATTTTGGGACTTCTTGTTTTGGGCCATTGTGTCATTTAGTTTGGTCTCCTTTAAAAAATTGGGATTTGGGCTTTTAGTTTTAAAACAAACTAAAGAAAAAGAAATTAAAACAAATGAAACCTTAGGTCTCCCTTCTCTTCTTCTTCTTCAAACCCCCCCTCAGCCGCCGCACCCCCTCTTTCTTGTTCTCCGGCGACCACGTTCTCTAGCGAAGTAGCGAACGACAGTGACCTCAGACGGTGGCATAATAATCCCAACCATGATCTCGCGGCAGCGGCGCATCCGTCGATGGTGGGTTGTTGTTTTTGTATCAGG